TGCCGGCTTTCACCATGTGAGTGACACTCACTGCCTCATCCTGGTGCGCCTCGAAGCTTTGCTGCACACAGAGGAGATGGAGGTATCAGGCCAGCTGCTACCCTGACTTGCTCCTTCCCCCAGTCTCCAGGGTCAACTATTCCCAGAGTCTTCAGGAGCACAGGCTAGGCAAGGCTCTGCCTGGACATCGGTCTGCACCAGGCCTTAGAAGCCTAGTGTGCTACACCGATCAGCAGCTATCAGGAATCAGATTTCCAGTGCTGACAGATTGTGACAGTGTAAACGCTGCTCCTGACAAGAGTGACTGCAGACAATCAATGTGACAGGGACAGAAGGCAAAGGTGCACGCTTGGCTCTTGAGTGGAGACCCAACTCCAACACACAGGGGGCTCCTTTCGGGTCCTCCACATCCAGCATGGAAAGATGGAGCCACCACCTAGCAGAAGTTGATGCTACATGCATGGTTTTTTTTATTCCTTTGAGACAGGATCTTGTTTTATAGCCCTGGCTAGACTGATCTAATATAGCCCAGGCTGGCCTCCAGCTCATGATTCTCCTACCTCTGACTCCTAATTGCTAGGATCATAGGCCGTGTCCAACTCTCTGTATATATTATTTAAGGTAACCATGGCAACCTGCAAACCCAGCAGGGAAGGAGATGGGGAGTGAGTCGCATCCTCATCTCTCATAGTGTGGAGAGGGCAGGGAAAGTCAAGAGATGATGGTCAAAATCAAGAGAGCTCTGGAGTGGACGAGGACGGTGTGTGGACTGAAGTCAGAGCAGGAGTCTCGTCTTACGAGAAGCAGGACAGGGAAGAGCACAGGAGAACTACTCCACGCCATTGGATTTGCTTCTCACAGGCACGGGTCTAATTTAATCTCCACCGAACAATCCAACAACAAGACCCCTCAGGATACAGGCTGGCCAGACGGCTCAGTCAGGAAGGCATGTGCCTAGCAAGCCTGAGGATCCAAGTTTGAGCCCCAGTAGCCATGTTTTTTGTAGTTGTGTCTTCTGTGGGTTTTCCCCCTAAACTCCTGTGGTACCACATAAGACAATGCCACCACCGCAGAGGCGGAGACCTGGAACTCACGGGCTACTCGGCATTTTCAAAACCAGTGTGAGGCACTGTCTCAAAAGAAATAAAAAGAGGATGCTACCTGAGGAGTGACATCCAAAGGTGTCCTCTGGCTTCCACACGAGCATACCTTTACACAGTGCATGCACATGAGTGCACGCACACACACACACATATATACAAGTGTGTGCACATGCATACACACAAGTGCATGCACATACAAGTGAATGCACATGAACACACACACAAATACATGCACATGCATGCATGTGCACACGTGTACACATATATATACACAAGTACATGCACACACACAAGTGCATCCACATGCACACAGACACACACACACACAGGCAGAGCAGAAGTGTCTGACCTTCACACAAGGCAGGGTGTATGGTCTCCATGGGGTGGAGCATCCCTAGAATGAGAATAGGGAACTGTCTCCACCCTCACACTGGGGGTTCTGCCTAAGCACTCCTGAGGTGCCTAGGAGTGGCTTCTGAGGGAAACTAAGCTGAGATGGAACCAGGTCTGGGCCGTGCAGTACACAGCAGGGACACAGCAGCCCCGTCCCTCAGGGCCTGCAGCCCATCTCTGCTAACCCAGCCCAGCCCTTGCCTTGAGTTATATTTCTTCCAGGAAATCCATGGATAGCTCCTGGTCGCCAGGTCTGATTGAAGAAGTCTACAGTGCCACCCCAGCCTTGTTTCCCTAGAGGTGGAACTGGTCAATACTGGGCCCAGTGGACCATGCAGGCCCATGTCAACACACAGAGACAAGATGTGGGAAGGGGATTCACCTGGGGCTTCCCCAGAAACTTCTGCTCATGCCAGGTGACTCACTTCTAGAATACAAGCTGATTCCAGACTCCTAGCTGAGTCTCCTGGGCCTAGGGAGATAGTAGGTGGGAACAGAAAACATGCCAGCATCCTGGGTCCCAGGGGGAGCCAAGCCCAGCACCCTAGGGTGGGGGAAGACAGCAGTGGCACCCAGGCCTCAGTGCCCTCAGGCCACCACTCGGTGCCAGTGAGCCACATAACTATTGATTTGGTAAACCAAGCTTTCCTGGAAGCCAGGCCTGATCACACAAGTAAGAATCCAGCCAGGGACCTTGGCACAATGCCCTCTGACCATAGGCATTGGTCCTGCTTAAGGACAAAAAGATCTGCCAGAAGATAGCAAGCTTTCTCCGGCAGGTTTAGTGTCAGTGTAAGGGGCACCACTAGTCTAAAAAGATGTCACACGTCTCAAAGAGACTGCAGAGGTGGGAACCTGAGGGTTCTCCCAAGTCCCGTGTCTGAAAAGACCCCAGAGGAGACAACGCCCAGCAGGCGGCAGTGACCATAAAGCCCCATCCTGATTTCGACTCCTCCTCTCTTTAGGGGATCAGCTAGGGCACCAGGGAGACAGTAGGTGGGGGCAGGGAAAGCAAAGGTACAGCCTCGAGTCTCACCACTATGAAAGCAAGGAAATATCGAGACTGTTGGGGTGTGGGTGTCCACAGATTCCAGGACCCAGATCAAAGAGGCCAAGGGCCAATCACAGAAATGCTGGGTATCAAGTGAGTTACGAAGCACCTGGATGTTAGTGCACCGAGCTTTCTAAAGGCTCTAGGGAGCTGGGTGGAGAGGCTTGTTCCTGTAATCCTGGTACTCAGCAAACTGAGGCAGTACAAGGCCAGAGTGAGCTACACAGCGGGACACTGGAGAAACAGCTCAGCGGTGAAAAGAGCATGTCCACGTATGTACACACAGAATACATGCATTACAAGCATGTGCATGCACACACAGAGACATACGCACATTGCATGTATACATGCACACACATAGAGACGTGTGTATTACATGCATGCATGCATGCACACACACAGAGACATGTGCATTATACACATGCATCCATGCATGCACACAGAGACATGTGCATTATACACATGCATGTACACACAGACACACGTGCATTACATGTATGCATGTGTGCACACACACAGAGACATACATGCATGCATGCTCTCTCTCTCTCTCGCTCTCTCTCGCTCTCTCTCTCTCTTACAAAGCACCTGAGTCCAGTTCCCAGCACCCACATCAAGCAGCTCAGGACCACCTGTAACTCTAGCAGCAAGAGACCTGACAGCCTCTTCTGACCTCTGGGGACACTTGCACTCACGTGTGCACACACACACACACACACAAAATTAAAAATAAAGCAAATCTTTAAAATACAAAGTGGGAGCAGATTATTGACTAGACAGGGTCTCAGCCCCTGTGTGACTGACCTAGTGTGCTCTTCTCTGTACACTGAGACAAAAAGAATCTGCCTCACAGGGGTGCTGAGGACTCAGTGGAGAAGGGTATGTGTCACACCCTGAGGGCCCCCCCCCCCCCGCATGCTGCTGTGTAGAACCAGCATGATGCAAGTTCCGCCCCCATCCACGGTGTCTACCTCCACAGGACACCCAGCCACGGCCACCCACGCTGCGGGTTCCAGGTGAGCGATCTCAGAGGAGTGCTGACACAGTCAGTCCTGTAATATTTATGTGCCTCCAGGTGACGCTTCTGCGCTGTTGCCATAAATTCCCAGGGTGATGTGCGCAGCACTCAAAGTCATTAAAGCCAGAGATGACGTGAGGGGCTGGGAGGATGACTGGGTGAGGGAGCTACCCAGGAAGGGCAGGCAGTAGCTAGGTGTCTATTCCTACTTTCTGGGCACCAACAGAGCGCCAGGCCTCTCCAGAGTCAGCCAGGGCACTGGACACAAATACCCTACCGACACAGAAAAGACACCAGACAAATCCGGGCCCAGACGGGCTAAGTGGGGGATTCCATCTCTTCAGCTCACTCTCAGAGGCTCAGAGAAACTTAGCCCTGGCATTCAATCAAGGTCTGGGTTAAAGAGGTTCTTGCCTTTTTAAGTCACCGTGGACCAACTGGTCCTGAGAAGCCTGGTCATGGGCCCAAGGATGGACTGCCCACCAAACACTGGTCCACGCCCCACCAATACTGCCCCCCTCCAATCCTTGAGGACAGCCACAGGGTGGGCACCACCCTTTCACCATCGTTCAAGACAAAACACGGGAAGTTCCAGGAGTGATAGGTGTCGTGGCCCAGCCGGCCAGCGGACAGACTGGGAATTGAGACGCAGGACTGCTGGGTCCAGTCTGCAGAGAGAGCATCTTATACAAGCTATCATAAAAGTCTCTCACCTGTCTTAATCGGCTGCGTTCTTATCTGCCCTTCACGGCCAGCGCAACAGAAGGAAACACTAAAGCATTTGCGGAGTGGGATGGCTGAGAAAGGGTGGGAAGCCACGCCCCCTAACCTGGGAAGCCACACCCCCTAACCGGAGTAGTCAATTCACTCTGGAACCTCCGGGGACATTTTCATTCTGGGAAAGTCAGGGTGGCTGGTCACTCAGATGAGACATAGTTCCCACACTCTGGCTGGTGTGATGTTCTTGCCTTGCCTCACCTGGTTGAGGTCAGGGCTCAGACAGGAAACAAAAACAAAATAAATAAACAAAACAAACACATCATGAAGGCTTGTGACGTAGCCATCTCATGCTTAGCAGAGTGGGAGGGGCATCACCCTGCTTTACTGAATGACAGACAACTCAGCTCAGGGCAACACCGGACAGGCAGACAAACGGCCCCACCAGCCACTGTTCATTTTGAAAGGAAATGTGAAAACTTATCGTGTTATGAAAATAACTTTCTAGAAGAAAAAAAAAACGGCCCCAATTTTTTCTAGTACCTCAAGAGTCTGTCTACCTGCTGCCCCCAATGTTTAAGATTCCTCCCCTGTTCTTTAAGCAGATGATCCCCTGTGGGTTGGTCATGTTCCAAAGATGGCCCCCACGGCCGTGAGTATATGAACTTGGTGAGTTACTTTAAAATAAAATAATAATTTAAAAAATTAGGGCATGGGTTACAGAGCGGAGAGAGTGAGGAGGCTGCGTCTGGCTCCCGCTCTCACAGCCATTGCAGTACATTGAGCTCCATAGAGACAGCGCCGGGGCAAGCGAGAGCCGGACGGGCACTGGGCGACTCTGTGCCTCGCGGAGGAAAATCAACTAAACATGGGCAAAGGAGATCCTAAGAAGCCGAGAGGCAAAATGTCCTCATATGCATTCTTGGTGCAAACCTGCCGGGAGGAGCACAAGAAGAAGCACCCAGATGCTTCTGTCAACTTCTCAGAGTTCTCCAAGAAGTGCTCAGAGAGGTGGAAGACTATGTCTGCTAAAGAAAAGGGGAAATTTGAAGATATGGCAAAGGCTGACAAGGCTCGTTATGAAAGAGAAATGAAAACCTACATCCCTCCCAAAGGGGAGACCAAAAAGAAGTTCAAGGACCCCAATGCACCCAAGAGGCCTCCTTCGGCCTTCTTCTTGTTCTGTTCTGAGTACCGCCCAAAAATCAAAGGCGAGCATCCTGGCTTATCCATTGGTGATGTTGCAAAGAAGCTAGGAGAGATGTGGAACAACACTGCAGCGGATGACAAGCAGCCCTACGAGAAGAAGGCTGCCAAGCTGAAGGAGAAGTATGAGAAGGATATTGCTGCCTACAGAGCTAAAGGAAAACCTGATGCAGCAAAAAAGGGGGTAGTCAAGGCTGAAAAGAGCAAGAAAAAGAAGGAAGAGGAAGATGATGAGGAAGATGAAGAGGATGAGGAAGAGGAGGAAGAAGAGGAAGACGAAGATGAAGAAGAAGATGATGATGATGAATAAGTTGGTTCTAGCGCAGTTTTTTTCTTGTCTATAAAGCATTTAACCCCCCTGTACACAACTCACTCCTTTTAAAGAAAAAAATTGAAATGTAAGGCTGTGTAAGATTTGTTTTTAAACTGTACAGTGTCTTTTTTTGTATAGTTAACACACTACCGAATGTGTCTTTAGATAGCCCTGTCCTGGTGGTATTTTCAATAGCCACTAACCTTGCCTGGTACAGTCTGGGGGTTGTAAATTGGCATGGAAATTTAAAGCAGGTTCTTGTTGGTGCACAGCACAAATTAGTTATATATGGGGACAGTAGTTTGGTTTTTGTTTTTCTTTTCTTTTGGTTTTATTTTTGGGTTTTTTTTTCCATCTTCAGTTGTCTCTGATGCAGCTTATACGAAGATAATTGTTGTTCTGTTAACTGAATACCACTCTGTAATTGCAAAAAAAAAAATTGCGGCTGTTTTGTTGACATTCTGAATGCTTCTAAGTAAATACAATTTTTTTTATTAAAAAAAAAAAAATTAGGGCATGAAGTTGGCAGAGGAGTGGACCTGCAGGGAATTAGGGGGACAGTTGGGAATAAATATGATCAAAATACAATGTATACACATAATGAATTCACAAAGAATAAAAGTATAGAGCCAGAGAGATGGCTCAGTGGTTAAGAGCACTGACTGTTCTTCCAGAGATCCTGAGTTCAACTCCCAGCAACCATATGGTGGCTCACAGCCATCTGTAATGGGATCTGATGCCCTCTTCTGCCATGCAGACAAACATGCAGACAGAGCACTCACATATACAAAATAAATAAATAAATCTTTTTAAAAAAAGAATAAAAATATATTTTATTAAGATAAATAAAATTTAATAAAACTCTGGGCTGGAGAAATAACTCAATGGCTGAGAGTGTATACAGCTCTTACAGAGGTTCGTTCCCGGCACCCGCATTGGGCAGATCACAACTGTAACTCCAGCTCCAAGGGATCAGAGGTGTCTGTGGCTGTCTGGAACACATACAGTACATGTGTGTTCATGCAAACATACTCATACACATAATTTTTTAGATTAGAAATATTTTTGAAAACATAAATCCTATACCAGGACTAGGGCTGTGGGTCGGTGGCAGAGTGCTTGCTTGGCGTGTGTGAGGTCCCGGGTTCAACTCCCAGCACAAAACAAATAAGTAAGTAAAATTCCACCCTGAGTCTTGCTTGTTGCTAAGTTCTCAAGCTGGGTGCAGATGCTTACGGTGACCTCGGTCCTGGGTGACAGCCACGGCATTAAGAAGGTGTCACTGGAAAGATTTGTGCCATGTGTCGTGGCTGTACCAGTGTTTCCCTTACAACCGTAACTCAACTGAAGGACGCCCATTGGTGCCTGTGGCTCCCGTAGAGAAGCAGACTGTGAAAGGCTTCTCCAGGCAGGGATGCTCCTGGCTCCTCCCGAGTCCTATTTAACAGCCTCTTGTTTTCTGCCATTACGAAAAGCCAGCCTATCATTCCTCTAGCATGGACACCTGAGAAGAGGCTCGGGCAGCGGCCACCCGGGGCCACCATCCATTCTGATGGGTCCTCGATCCCTGACCCAGCTTTGTCCTATACAAGCAAGTACCAGGACTAAACTGAGAGAGCTGGAGTCAGCCTCAGCCCGGCACTGCAGAGATCACAAGGTGGGCAGCTTGCCTCTTGCTGCTCCATGCACCAGGGCTAAGCTCACCCCAGTTAGCTCACCCTGCAGAAACCAAGGTCTGAAGGCTGGATTCAGCCAGCCCCATGACTTTTTGTCCCAGTTATTTCAACTTTAATGTGGTAATGGCTATGACTGCCTAGGGCAGTTACAACGATGTCACAAGGTCCTGCCAGCATAGGGCTCTGACCTCAGGCACCATCACTATAACTCAGAGATGGGGACCAAGGTTTTGCCCACTTTTGGGAGGGGCAGGTTCATAAGTGACAGCCCCTCTGCTGGGCTCAGTGCCCACCATGGGATGTGAGGGCAGGTGCAGCTGTGCCTTCTCCCCCCTTTGCTCTTTTCCTGGTCTGTGGCCCCATGCTTCTCTCTCTGACTCCTCCCTCTGTCTGACTCTGATCCTCCCATGCCTCCCACTCATCCATGGCATCCATGTAGCCAAGGGGCCATGACAGAGCTGTGGAACAGAGGTGGAGACAGACCCAGGGAGAGGGAGCCTCCCACCACAGTCACTGAGACCAGACCAGTGGCCAGCCCAGGTCCAGCCAGGTATACAACGGGCATCCTGTATGAGGAACTCACCTTCTGCAGAAACTGACGGCTGACATGTGAGTGGTCCCTGTGCATATGTGCCCAGACCCCTGCCACCCATCTGAGGACCCGAGAGGAAGCTGGACAGTGTCCTTCTTCACAGTGACCTGCCATCCCATGGACGACAACCCTGGTGTGCACATACACAAGATCCAGTGAGACACAAGGCATGGAGCGGATAGGTCAAGGCTCTGGAGGAAGGGCCACGCTGCACCCTGTGCTGGGAACCCCAGCTCTCCGAGTAAATCTCCAGACTACAGAGGAACGACCCCTCTTCACTTCCTCCCTCAGTCATCTCTGGGAGCTGAATATGCAAGGTGCAGCCTGAGCCTCCCCGTGAGCCCTACAACCATCCCTGTGTTTCCAGTAGGGAAACTGAGGCACTCAACAGCAGAGACGGTAAAGCCAACCAGCTCAGCTCGGAGCCACGATATCTAAAATCCAAGCACAGTCCAACAAGGTCTAGAGACTGGTGGGACACCTCTTACAGCAGTTCCCATGGAGTGTCCCCTAGTCCAGCTGTCAGACTTACAGACAGCTAGAGCCTCAGCCAGACCTGACGCAAAGAACCGAGCGGTAGACACGGGCCTAAACCACTATAGGAGACTCAGCCCTCCAGGCCATCGGGGAAACAGGCAGCGGCACACCCAGACCCTGAGGCAATGTGGTCCCAGCCCCCTAGCTAGGCTAGCCACCCAGAGGACAGTGCTTGTGGCTTTGTGTCCCTATCAGGTCCTATGTGGCTGGACAGCTGTCCTTTGGTTCTCTGCCTCTTCCCTTCCTTTGCCCCAGGCTCAGGGGCCTTGGAGATGGAGGAGAGCCCCAGGGAGGGGAAGATGGGACCTTGGTCGTGGTGGAAAGGTGGGTTCAGGGCTTGGTCATCCACTTGTGTGGTATCTGACCCTTCCTCGCTGCCATCTGTCCCCTCTCCTCTGTCTTCCCCCTCCTTCCCTGCCACCACCTTTCACCTTCCCATTCCCATCCCTGCCTGAGCCAACTTCTCCACCATGTCCCAGAGCCAATGACTCTAAACACCTTGCAAAACTCTGGAAATCTTTCTAGCAGCCCAAACCTTCCTGTGGGAGGGCAAATGCTGGGCTGAGAGAGTTGAGCTCTTCTGGGTGAGAAGACAGGACCAAAACTCTGTTCCTCCAGCAGCTCCTGCACCAGAGGCCAGAAGATGGGCTCTTGTCCTAAGAACCTCCATGCCTGGCAGAGTCGGCTCACCCAGCCACTCCCTCATGGCTGACATTTTGGCTCTACCATGTTTCCTGGGAAGGGAACAGCAGAATCCCAAAAAACACCTTCCTCCCCCGTCACAAGCAGTCCTTCTGCTAGTCTAACCTAATCCTTGCCACTGCGCTGAAACTTCTTTGGAACTCCTGGGAAGTTCCTGCTACCTTTAGCGAATCAATCACTCATGTTTTGCTCACCAGCTCCTTGTTGATAAGACATAAAAAGAGTCAAACACTGATTTAAAAATATATATTAGGATAAAACAAGACCAAGCTAACTCCACGGAACCATATGACTCCAGACCCCCACGTGCTCCAGTGACCCAAACACCGGGCCCTCCACCGAGCGGTCCCTAGGCGCTACAGGAACTTAGGGATTCATTTTGCTCTCGGTGCCAATTTGCATAGCATTACCGGGAGAAGCCGTGTGCCTGGATTTCGGTTTTTTTTTTTTTTTTTCAAATTCCCACCCGTTTTGTGTCATAAATAAGATGGGAGACGGAAAACTAATACAGCCCAGCGATGTATTATTCATGCCGTGTGGAGGGCTGTGACGGATTTACAACCGTTAATGCATGCAAACGAAGTTTGGGTGCTAACATGAAAATTAAGGGTGGGGAGGGAGAGACCCGGGTGCATGGGGTGCACAGGAAGGATCTGAGGGGCTGCAGGGTGTCCAGGAGCCCGGAGAGGTCTCTCCTCTGTCAGACCGAGTGGTATCGGGGGTGGGGTGGTGGTCAGTGTATGAGCAGACTGCGGACTACCAGTGCACACTCGGCTTCCAGAAGGGCCCACGTGCTCTTAAGCTGGGCACTGCAGTCCTCGGTCAGCCGGTGTGCTTGCCCCCTGCTGGCCTGAACCTCTACTGTACACCTAGGCACTGGGACTAACAGGACAACAGGAACCTGACAGCCCTGCCCCGAACGGCTTCGTTCTCTGCTTAATCTCATACTTAGATCCAAGTGTCCACTGACAGCCATAGTGTGGGCTACAATGGTGGCCCCCATGGATGCAGAGGAGATCTACCCAGGATGTTCCAGAGGTCAGGAAGCAGGGGTATAATGAGAGATGGGTACCCAATGAACTCTCCCAACAGCCCCATGGGTTCAAGACCTCAGGGCCAGGCTTCTACAAGGCATTGAAGAGCTGGGGGTATAGCTGAGCGGTAGACACTTGCTAGGAATGTGTGGGGCCCCAGGCTCCATCCTCAGCAAGTTAAAAACTATACCAGAGACACTGGCTGGGCTCTGGGCATCGGGGGTTCCCAGGCCCTCAAGTAGTCAGTTCTTACGTCCCATGACCTTGCAAAGCTGGATCAAGGGTACAATGCCACCCTATGGGCGGGGTCTATCTCTGCGCACCAGGAGACCAGCCCTCACTCCACCTCTACCCTGCTCTTGATGTGTCCCCACCTCCCTGGTCTCACACTTCCTCCTAGGATGCCTGGGTTGGTCCCTGGCATCTAAGCCTCCCCTGGCCCAGACTGTCACCTCCTGTGCAGTCAAAGTGACCTCAGCTGTATCACACCAGCCTGCAAGCTGCACCTGCCCTGCAGGAGCCCCTCCACAAAGCCATGAGCCCCTGAGCCTGCTGTGCCTGCAATCATGGGGGCCTATGTTCTAGTGGCCCCAGGGACAACCATCAGGGAGATGTTTTCAGAGAGTGAATAACATTCATGTGGCCACACAGCCAGGTGACATGTTAAGTTGTGACTAGGGTAGAAGCAACTTGGCTGGAGCTATAGGGTAGAGTGGCCTCCCGGGGAGGTGATGGCAAAGTCCAGACGGAGGTGGAGCAGCGTGGGGATGTATTTCTAAGGGAGAGGATAGCAGAGGGCAAGGCTGGAGGGGGAGCCAAGCTGTGAAGGGAGCCAGGTTGTGGGGGGAGCCAAGCTGTGGGGGGAGCCAGGCTGTGGGGGGGAGAGCCGGGCTGTGGGGGGAACCAGGCTGTGGGGGGAGGCAGGCTGTGGTGGGGGTAGGGTTGTGGGG